AGTTCAGACGTGTGCTCTTCCGATCTATTCAAAAGGTTTTAGCTAGTGTTTGGACACCTTGAATGATGCTAATGCCGACAGTACTCCAACTTTCAAGCTTCATAACTCAAGATTTATTTTATAAAAAAATATTTTATTTATGTGTTTTGAAAAGTTCTCGAGGCGTGCTATAAGAACATGTAATTAAAAATTGGGGGTTCCATTTAAAAAATTCAAAGTGACCTTGTTCTGACCTTGACGACGCCACTCAGGGTCAAACCAATGTTATCATCTTATGTCCCCCTCGAAACCCTACAACTTTTGTCTGAAACATTTTTCTCTCCCTGGCTTGATTTTCGAGATATTCGACTGGATGGATTAAAATGGTCCACCCTGTATATAACTCTTTGAAGCTTAACTCGTATATACATATATATATATATATATATATATATATATATAAGAACAAACAATAATTATATACGCTATTAAGATAGGATTTAACTTCGTTTTTGCAAGTTAACAATATATTTCTGTCAATTTCCAAGAGATACTACAATAGTTACACCCGCTCTGTATTTTACAATTTATTTTCGTCATCCCGCCCTACTCTCTAATCTCACCGCCGACGCGTCCTCGAAGATTACGTCGCGAAACACCCGCGCGCCGTGCCGCTGCCTGCAAATACAGCGTAATCCGCCACGCGCAAATCTCGCGAATCCTAGCAGGATGCGACGTCCGTCGTCCGGGAAATATTATTCGCGAGAAATTTTCAGCGCGCGCGACGTGGGAGGAGCTTTGATTTTGAGGGCGCCCATCCGTAAGCTGCGCGCGGCCCGGATCAACGCTTGTCCGTCGTCGAGGAATTACGAAGTTCCAATCTTGTGCCGACGAGTCTATCTCGGCGACCCGCGACATTTAATCCGCGAACATTGCGTCAACATTTAATGTGCGGCAAAAATGCAAAACGAAACGGTGGAAGAAAAGTGAAGAGCTGGTAAGAGGAAACGGATGCGTTCGAGCAATTATTTCTGTCTTATTTCAAAAAATTTGCTTTTGCTCCAACATTTTATATATTCCTTCATCGAATAATATTTAATTTTGTCAAAATTTTATGGCGAACGCGCGCGCGTTGCATATACGCGCAGCTTTTATACCTGCGTCAGCTGGTAAAATCTTAAATCCCGCGCCACTTGATTTGCGTGCGTCCTTTTTGAGGGATCACGGCGACCACGTGTGTGCACGTGGGACCGACTGTAGATCAGCGCGACAGGATTTCCTCTCTCTCGCGGGGGTCCATCTCTCCCGCGCGCTCGTTTTCCCACCCGTGTAGAATCCCTTCCGGTACAGCGTGTGCATAATGCATGGCCGATACGTGTTCGCGTTATGATATTTCTCGCGATAGAACCGGCGCGAGACGGTAGAACCGCTGTTACCGGTGCGTTCTATGGATACATTCAGACGAATAACACTCCCGACTGGAGAGCTCTCCTTCTTCCGCTCTTCGAACCCCTCCTTTGATCGTCCGCAGAGGTCCGAGCCGGACCTCGGGATAACTCGATGCGTTCCTGATTTACTCCCGTGTTACATCCCTTCCGCGCGAAGGGATACAAAGGGACACGCTGCCCATCTTTGGGAATCTTAAATATTTCGTAGGCGTCTGGGCGAATCACGATCAGATGAAATTTGTTGACCGAGGATGTTTACAATTTCGAAGCGGGTTCTTTGAGATATATTGGATTTTCGAAGGATGCTACCCGTACCAGATGTGCGATATTCGACTTCGCGAAGGACTCTTCAGAATGGAATGCGCTTTTCTGCAGAGTGATTTCGAAAAGAAATCTTTCTTCCTTGTTGCCTTCGCAAATATGTATATACATTTCGTTTATCAATAAAATAAATCTAACAAATAAATTCTCACTGCGTACACATAATAAATTTACCATTACAAAGTCCCGTTATACAGTTAAAGTAATTTTATTCAGGAAGCTTAATATCTCCACTTGGGGATTTGCACGAGTCAGACGGAGTTATCCTGCGATCGAGTAATTCGACACAATTTATGTCACGACTTATTGACGCGAAGTTTCGTGAACCTCCTTTCGTGTTCGCGCCGTAACTTGGTAACTCGCGCACAGCGAAATGCCGGCCGATATTAATATTTCCTATTCCATTTGAGTTGGAAGTCATCTGTGAGGGAACTCAAAGTCAAAGCGGATAGCCCGAAACATTTAGCTTCTTTGAGACTCGCCGTGGGACTTGTGTACACCGGATTTCTGATTACCCGAAGGGCTTTTCTATCAAGAGAAATATCCGAAACGACTCGCGCGCGGCACGGGCTTCCGAGTTAACAAGGGCCACAAAGCAAATGAGAGCGACGTTAGTACAGCCGGCATTATGGTCCGACTTTGCTTTAGGTAGGTAGCTTAGTAATAATAACATTATGCAACGTAGGGATGTGCTACAAAGGTCAGACGGAATTCCGGAGAAGCCGCGTGCCCTTCCATACGGATACAGTCGACCGTGAAGTAGGAATTTTCAGGAACACACGCGCGGTTATCAGTCTGCATTCAAGACGGCTTTTATGATGTTTCGGATTGTTAATAACAAAATCGCATTTTAGTGGGTTTTAACATTTAATAAGGATCCTAGAAAATAATTGTGAAGTTTAGCGTTCATAATTTTTTTTCATTACTAATAATGCAGTGCAATACGTAGAAAAATTTAAAAAGTCTTAAACACAACCAATATTTCTTCACAGGAAATTTGTAATCTCTTTGAAATAATTTACATATTTCCTATTAAATTAAATTATTTTTACTTTTACTATTTAATCGATTTAATTTATTAGCTACTCTGTCAATGAAGAGATTTTTGAATCGCATAGTACAAATTATTTATTTTATAAAATTTTCCCGGCAGAAATTTTCATTCAAAGATTTGTTCTTTGGGC